AAATATTTTATCAGATTTTCTCAATTTTGCATGATATTTTCATACAGGACATCTGTGTCAAACTCAGGGAAGACTTTATACTGATGAATAAGGTGACCAAGTTGATAAAGTTTGGAATAGAATTAGTAAAGTTATTATGCACACAATAACAATTATTAACAACGACGACGACAACAACAACGACGACGACGACAACGCCGGACAAAATTTTTCCCTTAATATACCTTTCCCTTCCATCTTTGATGGTACAGGCAAGGTAATTAAAATACCTGTCAGGTAAACTGCATCTCTACCTTAAAGCAGTGTAATAAAGTGAAACCTGCCTCATTTAAAAGATCATCATTTTTCAAGCTATTTGCTGAGCCATCATTTTCTTAAACATAGTTAAATGACTTGTACATGCATTGAGAGACTCACCCATCATACACATTGAGTAACCAGTTCAGACACATATCTACACACAATGGTACATTGACTAACTGTGGATTGTCAACTGCTACGTTATCATAAATACTCGTCAACACATTAATTATCTCCATCACATCCATTAATTTATCATTTTCATCTCGCAATCCATGGTGATCAAACGCATCATTTGCACTATTCATATTCAGTAAATCCACTGTGGATAGAAAAAAATTTTTTTTTTATTTAAACAGGTTGCCATGGTTTGAATAGACAGTAGACATGCAAAATGAAGTTATAGACCACCTTGGCTATCAGAACATGCAAACCAATAAAACATATTATAATAATAGTTGATTTCTAATAAAGATGACAGGTAGATACTTATTACCATGGTTACTTACAACAAAGTGCTTTCTGCAGTCTCCTGAGTTTCATGGCAGTTCTGTATGCTGAGAATCGGACGTCATTAAAATCTGCCATACTACCAAATAATTCACTCAACGCAGGATGGTCCCAGTGAGTCGTCTCAGTAGTGTGGCTGCAATAAATTTATATTATAATGTGTTTATTTTACATAACATTTTATTTGTGTTTGTGACAAGATACCTCCACAGTGATGTATACACTGAAAGAAGTTCGATAATACCACCAAGCTATGTCAAGAAGTCAAAAATAATATTCTTTTACCCAAAATGAAATTAATAATCTGTAAACTTAACTTAAAGTTATTAACACAAAATGAACAATCTAAAGAATCTCAGAAAGAACCCACCTATCCCCAGCAAACAGCTGTTTTCAAGAAGCAGTCCAAAATATATTTTTTTATTATAAAAAACTACAAAAATATTTTTCAAAATTAGAGAAATAGAGTACCACCTAAGGTACTTGTACTTTCCTGGTAGAATATGAAAACCATACAACTGACAGTTTTTAGGAAGTCAAAAATTAATGTAAAAATGACAACAATAGACTATCAGTAATATAAATATAGTTTTGCTCCGTATAACTATGTCAAAAGCAGAGCTGAAAACTCAATCATTATTTATCCAAAATCCACACATACCAGAACCAGAATAAGAAAACATTGACAGCTACATTTATTGTTATGCTATAAGCAGTGAGGCAGCATTGACTGTTAATGTTTTATATTTTTGGCAACATGATCCAAAGCAAATAATCAATACAGAAAGAATTACCCCAGTATCAAATTTGACTGAAATAAGCCTGTGTCTCCTCAAGATTCATCCATCAATCAATCAAGTAAGTGATCA